CTGCACTACACTACACTTTAATACATAAACATAGAGATGCTTGCTAATTAATTAAAACAAATTTTAATTATTTTAATGTTATATGACTCAAGTGGAATTTAGTTTTTACTGAATTTGAATCTAATTATGATACTGAATACTATATCTACAGAAATGATAAATTTTACTTTTGATAAGGGACATTCCTTCTAATATACTTTTAAATAATATCTTTAATATAATCGTAATGTAAGTTTATATTTATAATTAAACATAATATTATTAAAGTTTCGGGGTCACACAATATACTGATTAAATAATAATTTTTAAGACCTAAAAATTTCAATTTAATAATTTTAAATTAAATTAAGCCAATTCTTAAATTAATTAATAAAAATTCTAGTATTTATTAACAATTAGAATTTTTAACATTCTTAATTTAATAAGATGAAATAACCTAGTCATAATGAAATGATTTCAAAAATAAATTACCAACAAAGTTTAAATATTAATTAAAAATATTTAATTATAAAAATCATTTTCAACTAGATACCTTACATTTTCGTTACCTAGTATAGTGTAGTTGGATTCCATGAAATTATTTAAATATATTTAACATATATTTTTGGGTGTTTTTTCCAAATTTTTATTATTAAATGAATTGAATATAATTTTATTTTATTGTTGGTTAAGAATTACAGTTTTATTTAAATTACATTTTAAAGTAATAAAAAGGACTGACTACTTTGCCGGTTGACGGTAACCTACCCCGACCGATAACCGACAAAGTAGTCAATCCCTTCATAAAACTTACCCACATTATTATTATAAATAATAATGCTAATATTAATTAATATAAATTGGTATACATTTATATAATCAATTAATGATTGGACAGGGTCCTTTTCAAAATTTTTAAAGATCAATTTTTAATTTCTTTATTTAACTTAAATGTTAAATCTTTTTTTAATATATAAATCTAATAAATAAAATCACAGTATTTAAAACATACACTCTAAAATTATACTGTACATTACAAACAATTTTATAATTTATATAATGAATGATCAATTTCTATATACTAGGTAAAAATCTGTTTTTTATTAATGACATAAATTATTCATAGAAAATAATTTATAATTAATAACTAATGCATCCCGGTGATCACCACGCCAATAATGGCCACAAGTACGAGCACCAAGGTGTTCGCTATAACCATGGCATCACCATCAGTGGTACTTTGCTGTGTAGAGCCAGTCGACCCGGTGGACCCGGTAGACGCGGTAGATCCGGTAGGCCCGGTAGACCCGGTCGACCCGGTAGACCCGGTAGACCCGGTGGTATCGGTGGAGCCGGTTGGGGCTGGTGTGGGGGCGCATGGATATGGTTTTTTGTCATCCTAAATTATGATTGCAATATTTCAAAAAATTAGTTTAAATTATGACCTAGGAAAAATTAATAAAAACTCACAGCAAATGCACCGCAAACTTCTGATCGCAAATCGCTCAGTGCGTTGGTATTGATTTTACCGTTGATTATGACTAACGGATCGTTATCTAAAGTTGCGTGATAATAAATATGTCAAATTATAATTTTTAAATTTAAGAATTGCAATCATATAATTCATTAATTCGATATAATTATTTTGCACATATTTCTTTATTTACGACTATGCTGCATTTATATGATTAAGAAATAGACCACTTGAAATTTTCAAAATACTGTATTTACTTAAAATCGTAATTATAAATTGATAAAAAATTGTATATTATTAGCATTATATATTTGTAGTTATTCTATTTTTACCTGACTATTTTTACGTAATTTTAGAATTATTTTAATCTACTTATATAAATAATGTATAAAAACTATGACATTTATATTTTCAATTAATTCAGATGTAGCCAGACATTAAAAATTATAAATGGTACTCACTGTAGTCAAACACCGGGTGCAGGGTGTCGGTGGCGGCTAATACTTGATTCAAATAGGGATCTGACAACTCGCGACTATTGGCGCAAAATACAAAGGTGACACCATCGTCAATTATATCGGGGTTGGCGTTACTACATGCTATGGCGTTGGCCAGGGGGTTTTGTTTCCAGTCCGATTTTCCCACCGTACAAACGGCAATACGGAACTCGTGGTGATTCACGTAATTGGTCACGTGATTGCGAGCTATGCACGCCTGGGTAATTTATGTAGATACAAACGAATGAGTTATAAAAGTGTTAGATATTTTATAACTTTAAAATTAAAACTGATTGAATTTTAAAACTTAATCTGTTTTGTACAAATGCTAATCAAGTATTTTGTAAATCCTAATATTATTCTTTAATGTAGATTTATCATGATCTAGATCAAATTGTTTTGTAGATTTTAAAAATGACTCGTGTGACTTCTAAAATGACCTACGTTTAAAAATATAATAGTATAGTATCACACATGACATTAATATCACACTGTACTAATAAAATTAATACAGTACCATATAATTTATCATACATTATTTCTCACTAACAATAAGATCATTATAGAAACATAATAATCATATAATAAATATGTTTATCTAAAATTCGTTAACAGGTTCCTGCGCAAACATTAATCCCTTTACTTACGTGCAATCTAGTAGCCTTACACTCGACATCGTTTTCAGCGCAAGCGTAATCAAATACTTGTGCTCCGGTAGTGTCCCTGGTCCTTTCAGCGCTACCCCAGGGTATCAAATCGACCTCGACATTATAAATTGCCTCGCCAGTCTCTAAATTGTTGACCAACAGATCGTAGATACCCTTGTCGTTACCCTCGGCATTTAACTTAAGGAAGTCGATTGCACGATTGCTGAATGGTGAATAGTAGACCTGAACTTGGACATTGTCACCTTTCACAGTTGTGTCAATGGGAGGGTCAGGGTCACCGGATACGCCCGAGCAACCCGCGGGCCTCTGAGCAGCCTATTGTTAACAAGGATCATAATTATTTAATAATTTTATACTCTTTTATAATATAATTAAATGTAACTTACAGGTATGGCCTTGCACACTTCTGTTTTTAAATCAGTGATAGCTTTGACATTTATTACGCCATTAATTAGTACCAGTGGATCATTAGCTAATGAGTAAAAACATATTTTAAAATGTTTAATTTATAATAATTTTATAAATTTAAAAAAGTAATTTATATTATTTACTTCAATAATACTAAATTATTATAGTTAAGTAAGTTTGTTTTCATAACTACAAACCTAACAAACTTGATGTAGATTTTAAGTTTTATAAGTATTTTATAATTGTAAATGAATAAATAATAATTTATTTTAAAACTCACCATCAACAATACCACCGTAACGCGTATCGGTAGCAGCGAGCACCTCGTCCAAGTAGGCGTTACCATCGGAGTTGTCCTTTTGACCGCATATTTCCAGACCCACGCCCTCATCGGGATAGTCGGGGGCGTCGGGTATGGTGTTTGAGCACG